TGTTGTGTGTCAGTGGCTGCTTGGGAAGCGTTTGTCTCTGCACTCTTTACTTGTCCTGATAGGTATTATTTTTTTTATGTTTTTGTTTTTTTGTTTTGAGACAGAGTCCTCGCTTTGTTCCCAGGCTAGAGTGAGTCGCCATGGCCATAGCAAGCTAAGCTCACAGCAACCTCAGCTCCTGGCTCAAGGGCAAGTCCTGCTGCCTCTCAGGTCCCTCCGAGTAGCTGGGACTACTAGTGGCAATGGCCACAGATGCGGTAATTTTTCTCCTGTATATTAAGGTTGGCTATTAATTTCTTTCTTTTAGGTGTGAGATGGGTCTCGCTTCCTTGCTCAGGCTGGTGTTGAACTCCTGACCTCGAGAATCTGCTGGCCTCGCTCCCAGAGTTGCTAGGATTACAGGCGTGAGTCACCGTGCCCGGCCTTGTCCTGTAGTTTTTAAGTGCTTCTTCATAGGTGCTCACTGTGTCTTCACATCCAGCATGATGGTGGGTTCAGCCCCAGGCAGCTCTGTGGATACTGTGACAACAGCTGCCATTTCCCAAGCCCTGGGCTAAGTAGGCTCTTCCCTTCATCCCTGGGGATGGAGCACCATTATCAGCCCCATTTTACAGGTGAGAAAACTGAAGGCTAGAAAGGTTCAATGACATGCCCAAGACTACACAGCTATGGATGGGTGATAAAGCCATGGCACACTCTGGCGTGCCTGACTCCTTCCTGCGACCAAGATCACAGCTCTGCTGGTGGTCATGGCCTATGACTCAGTGGCTACTTTTGGCCTGCATACATATTTTGTTTGGCCTGCCAGATGTGTGGTGTTTTTTGGCTTGAGGTTTGGTTTGGTAATTTGACTGCTTTTGAAAAAACTGGGTCCAAGTTGCTACCTAGTGACTATCTGCTGGAACCAAGTAGCAGCTGCCCCTTTGGGCTGGTTGGCACGGTTCCCAGTCCACCTGGCTTCCCTCGTGACTTGCCTAGCCTGTTGTGACTTCGGTGCAGTAAGATGTGAGAATGTACCTACTTCGGCTGGGCACAGTGGCTCATGCTGGTAATCCTAGCACTCTGGAAGCCCAAGAAGGGAGGATCCCTTGAGGTCAGGAGTTCAAGACCAGCCTGAGTGAGAGTGAGACCATGTCTCTACTAAAAATAGAAAAAATGAGCCAGGCCTGCTGGCTCATGCCTGTAGTCCCAGCTCCTTGGGAGGCTGAGGCAGAAGGATCCCTTGAGCCCAGGAGTTTGAGGTTGCTGTGAGCTAGGCTGACGCTACGGCACTCTAGCCTGGGCAACAGAGTAAGACTGTCTCACAAAAAAAAATAAAAATAAAAAAGTACCCACCTCCCCCACATACGCCCCTGAGGGTCAGATGTCAGAATCATCCATATGGGGCTTTGTGCTTCTGCCTCCCTCCACCCCTCCCTGCTGTTCTGCAGTGGTGAGACTGCTTCCTATAGGAGCATGTCATTTCTCTGTGTTGTGGATAAAGATCAAAAACTTCCATATCGTCTGGGTGCAGTGGCTCACGCCTGTAATCCTAGCACTCTGGGAGGCCGAGGTGGGCAGATTGCTTGAGGTCAGGAGTTCAAAACCAGCCTGAGCAAGAGCGAGACCCCGTCTCTACTATAAATAGAAAGAAATTAATTGGCCAACTAATATATATAGAAAAATTAGCTAGACATGGTGGCACATGCCTGTAGTCCCAGCTACTCGGGAGGCTGAGGCAGTAGGATTGCTTGAGCCCAGGAGTTTGAGGTTGCTTGAGCGAGGCTGACGCCATGGCACTCACTCTAGCCTGGGCAACAAAGTGAAACTTTGTCTCAAAACAAAACAAACAAACAAAAAAACTTCCATATCCCTGTTTCCCAAAAGTGTCATTTGTGTCACACTAAACTGGAAAGACCATGGAATTAAGGTCAGAACTAGATTGAAGTCTTGCCTCTGCCTCTAATTTACACGAGCAAGTCAGTTGTCTTCTCAGAGTCTCAGTTTCCTCCTCTGTAAAATGGAGCCAACAGTCCCTGCCTACCCACTTACCGAGGTTCAGTGGGTAGCACCAGTGAGCTCGGGACTGGGAAAGTACTTTGTAAACTGGGGATTCACTTGTGCAGGGTAGTTGATGTCCTCAGCCAAGCTGAGCATCCCTGACCTTTAGGAAGCTTGGCTGGGCCCTCGGTGGACTTGTGCTTGTGCTCTGGGCCGTGTGATTGTGTTTGAAGGAGAGAGCCCAAGGGACCTCTCCAAGGCTTGGATAGAGTTTGAGGTGTGTCACTGGGGCCACCCTGCCCACACGCTTCCCTCTGTGGAGGAGGACCACTCAGGGCCGTGTCTACCCTCTAATCTGCTCACTCCAGGGGTTCCTGCTGGAAGGCTCAGGGCTCGCCTGGGACTATGAAAGGACCATCTTTGATAAGGCCAGCTAATCTGTGATACTCAACTAATCTAACCTGCACAGTGTCTGCGTGTTTCAGAGGAGTGATTTGTTCATTCCTTGCACAAGGTTCACTTAGCACTTGCTCTGTGCTCGACCCTGCACTGGATGCTGGAGGTAAACAGGCATCCCAAGGACAGATGTGGTCATGGTCATTAGCCAACGGAGCCTGCAGCGGCCTGGGCTTAGGGCTCCTGAGGGGATGCAGGGGGTGATGAGGCTAGAACAGATAGCTAAGGGACTTTGGCCTTTATCTTGCAGATAGTAGGGAGCCATTGAAGGTTTTTACCAATGCCCAGGGAGGTTCCATTAGCTCATGGGAGGAGGAGCAGGAAGGTGAGAACATGAGTTGAGTTTCAGGCTCTGTAGGATATCCAGCATTTGATAGGCGGCGGGATATATGAGCCTGGACTCAGGGAAGTTGTGGACTAGGGTTGGAGATCTGAGGGTGTTGGTAGAATTAGGTGATAGAGGATTGTCTATGACTAGAACCATACAGAGGGAGAGAGGAAGAATGAAGAGTGAAGTGGTTCAGCCCCTTCAGGTTACCGATGAGTAAACGGGGTCCAGAGGAAAGTCATTTGCTTATAGCCACAGTAATAAGTGTCATTCATCTGTACATTCAGCAAGTATTACTGAACGCCTGCTATGTCCTAGGAACGCTCTAGGTGCTGGGTTACTGCGGTGAGCAAGAACACTTACATTCCAGTGGGCAGATTCAGAAAACAAACCAGTCAAATGGTGGTAAATGCTGTAAATAAAATAAAGGAGAGTAAGGAGGACTGGGGGGTGGTTAAGATTGCATATGGGATGGTCAGGGAAGGCCTAACTGATATAGTGACATTTGAGCTGAGACCTGAAAGAAGACAGAGAATGAGCCAGGCATGGAGTTGCCACTAGGTAAGATTATGTGACGAGTAGATTTTAAGGGAGAAGGTAGGAATTCAGTTTGGGACAGGTTAAGTTAGAGCCACCTTGTAGGCATCTGCATAGAGATATCAAGTAGGCAGTAGCAGCAGCCATAAGACCCCCATTTCAGTCCTCTTCCCTTTCTTTGGAATTCTGGTTCCGTCTGTCCCTCTCTCTGCACCCTGTCTTGGTAACCTTCTCCTCCCCAGCAGTTGGCCTGGGCCACCGGCAGCCTCCCCACACTGAGAACTGACCCCAGCCCTCCGCCCCTAGGTTGTGCACAGGGACCTCAAGCCCAGCAACATCCTGTACGTGGACGAGTCCGGGAACCCCGAGTGCCTGCGCATCTGTGACTTTGGCTTTGCCAAACAGCTGCGGGCTGAGAACGGGCTCCTCATGACACCTTGCTACACGGCCAACTTCGTGGCACCCGAGGTGAGTGGCCCAGCCTCCTCAGGTGCAAGAGCGAGGGGGAGCTGGAGGCCTGTGCCCCTCCCAGAGGCCACACACTGGCCAGGGCTCTAGTCTCTGACCTTGGCCCAGGTGCCAAGGGAACACCCAGCCTGTGGCTGGAACCCCTCTGCTACCCTTCTGGGGAGTAGCAGGCAAGCATATGAGGCATATGACCACCCGCCTGTGCCCTGCTGGCAGGTGCTGAAGCGCCAGGGCTACGATGAAGGCTGTGACATCTGGAGCCTGGGCATTCTGCTCTACACCATGCTGGCGGGGTGAGTGCCCTGGGCCAGACCCCTCCCCACGGCCCAGCCCTAGCATTTGGGCCGGTGGGGCTTGTCTGATAGGAGGGACCCAGCCCTGCCTCAGGGGGAACTGAAGCCTGGGCCTGCTTTTGGGAACTCTGCCGGAGGGGACACAGTCTCCCACCCACCCCCGGCCCTAGGGTGAAGGCCACAGTCTGTACCCAGGCTATGTGGCTTTTCTGCAGATACACTCCATTTGCCAACGGGCCCAGTGACACACCAGAGGAAATCCTGACCCGGATCGGCAGTGGGAAGTTTACGCTCAGCGGGGGCAATTGGAACACGGTTTCAGAGACAGCCAAGGTGAGTCTGCGAGGGCTGCATGGGGCTCATTCGGAGGGAGGAGACAGGGTCGCGTCCCAGAGCTTTTCAGCAGTGCATGAACAGGTTTCTTGCAGATTCGTGTCTCTGAGTGGAATGATCTATTGCTGTATTTCTCCAAGTGGAAGATTTCCAGGCAGACCCCCACCCCCGAACCTTGTTGAGTAACTTGGTGACCATTCACTGGCCCTTCTCATGTTCTGGGCCCTGTGGGGAACAGAGGGCTGCATAATCCAGTCTCTGCCTGTGGACACTTAGTGTGGTGGGACAGACAGGCCTGCATGCAAGGAACCGGTGCCAGGCAGCAGAGAGAGGCCAGTCCCCTTGGCCAGGGGCACAGGCAGTGGAGGCAGAGAGCAGAGCAACTGGCCCATCCAAGCAGTCTTCTCGAAGGAGGTGGATGTGAGCTTTCAGTATTCACAAAGTTCCTGGGAGCAACCAGAGCCTGCGAGTTCCCACTGGGAACCTCTGTGCCAGACGCAGGGTTGAGGCCCTTAGTACCACCTGACACCAGCCCATGAGGCGGGCATTGTCATTCCTGTCTCTCATGGGGGAAACTGAGGGTCAGAGAGTTGAAGTAACACATCCAGGGCACTCACTTGATGAGTAGAAAAGTCAGGTTTTGAACCTGAGTCTGCCTGACTACAAACCTTAGGCTCTTCCCACCTGACTCTTTGAAGGTGAAGGAGGAAGGGAGGGTTATCCAGGACGAAGGGCTGAGAGCAGCAAAGGCCCAAAGAAAGGAATGTCTTGGCCGTGTGTGGGAGCCCTGGAGTAGTGTGGAGAGTGGGTCGCAGGGGCTTTTGCAGGGAGATGGTGGCCTTCCTGTCCCCCAGTCAGCGGGACACAGCTGTCTACTCCCATCTGCCCCTCCCACCACCTCCTTGCCCACTGTGTCCCCAGGACCTGGTGTCCAAGATGTTGCACGTGGACCCCCACCAGCGCCTCACAGCTAAGCAGGTCCTGCAGCACCCGTGGATCACCCAGAAAGACAAGCTTCCCCAGAGCCAGCTGTCCCACCAGGACCTGCAGCTTGTGAAGGTATGGCCACTCTGGGCTCCTGGGCATCTGCAGGGGCCAGGCCAAGATGGCATGAGCATGGCCTTGAGGTGGCAGGGCGAGGAGATGCCATGTCTGTATAGGTACCTTGAAGTGGGACAGAGGAGAAGACACAGCCCTGTCCTCAGGGAGCCCCAGGCTAAGATGCCACTGTGTCACGGTGTGCTCCTGGGGCCCTAGTCCTCTGGAGGACACAGCTGCTGACCTCAGGCCTCCAGTCTGTAGGGGAGGCAGGACCCATGACCACAAAGGCCCCCAAGGCTGGCTTACAGTGGTTGGGTGGGCTGTGGAACACGGGGGTGGGGGGAGGGGGGAGGGCTGGCTTGGCCCTGGGACACACATGCCCTCCCGCCCACTCCTCCCCCCATCGTGAACGGACCTTCCCCATCTCTCTAGGGAGCCATGGCAGCCACGTACTCCGCCCTCAACAGCTCCAAGCCCACGCCCCAGCTGAAGCCCATCGAGTCATCCATCCTGGCCCAGCGGCGAGTGAGGAAGCTGCCGTCCACCACGCTGTGAGGGCTGTCAGGCGAGGGCAGTGGTAGCTTGACGGACGCAGCATCCTTCCCAGAGGGAGCAGGCCCGGGCCACAGGGCCAGAGGGAGCTGGAACCCCCAGGGGCCCGGGAAGCAGCCAGCCCCATGACCCCCAGTGAGGGTGTGAGAAGTGCCTTCTCCTTCCCCAGGACGGACTCGGCCCTGGCTCTGCTGGCTGAAAGCAATTCACTGTACAGACTCTTTTTTTTTCTTAAGGAAAAAATGGTATCAGCCACCGTGGATTTTTACAAGCTCCATTTGCCTCTGTGGGAGCAGAAATAGCCAGTGCGGCCCCAGGAGGGGCACCGAGTCACGCTAGGGCTCTCTGTGGCTGAGACTCCTTAGAGCAGCTTTGGGATCCTCCACGTGGACCCCCACGAGGGGCCATTGGTAGCCATCTGCACACATCTCCAGGGCCGCCCAGCGTCACCTCTTACAGCCTCTGGCTGTTTGCAGAACTCACTCTATCCCTGGCCTGCTCCTTTTCCGTTCTGTTCCGCTGGGGGGTCTAGACCACTCTGCTGCGGGGGAGGGCCCATGCCCTGCCGGCGCCCAGCTCTAGGCACCAGCATCCACATCGGCTGCCACTGTCCCCTGCAGTCAGGGGGGGCAGCCCCAGGGAGAGGATGTGGAAAGCACTTTTTGGCCAACTTCTGTTGGGGTCTGCCATGGGACAGAGTTCACAGGAGGCCAGTGGGGCGGGCCAGGCGGGGCAGGGGCTTTTTTCATTTCTTCCTCAGCTGGTAACTCAGGGTTCATCTGTCCATGGCCTTTCTAATAAACTTACAATTGAGTTAAGCTCACTCTTGAATTTGCCCGCTCTCTGCTGTCGGGTATCCAAGACTTTGGCAGTGACAAGAAATGGGCCAGGGCCAATTAGCCCAGCTGCTTGGAACCTGGGTCATTTGGGGATTGTGTGGGAATCCCCTGGCCCTGCCCACGTGTTCCTGCCAGGGGATTCCATCATGTATTGGTAACAGTAACGGCGTCATTAACCACTGGTGACCAAGTGCCAGGCACTGTGCTGGGGTCTTAACATGTGTGTTCTCATTTAATCTTAACATGCCTGTGAGGTAGGTGCTATTATGTTATCCCCATTTTGTAGATGGGGAAACTGAGGCTCAGGGAAGGGAATGCCATTTTCTCATGCAGTAAATACTTTCTGAGCACCTGTTCTGGCCCTGCTCTAGGTGCTGGTGAGCCAAGTAAAGAACAAAGTCATTATTTTCATGGGTCTCACCTCCTCGCAGGGGAAATGGACAATTGACAAACTCAGGTCAGCTACTGACAAGACAGGTACAGAATTAAATTGGGGTGGGCGATCGGGTAGTTGGAGCCAGCCACTCTGGGGAGGTAACCCGGAAGCTGAAATCTGAATGGTGAGAAGGGGCCACCGAGACCTGGAAGCAGAGGGCAGAGTCAGGACAAAGGCCCCAAGGGGGAAACAGGCTGGTGGCTCAGGGACCAAAGAGGAGGCTGATGTAGCTGTGACCTCAGAGCCAGGGGTTTACACAAGGAGAGGGTGGAAAGGAGTCAGGGGCCAGTCACACATGGCCAGAAGCAGGTATGGGTTTAATTCTAAGTGGGATGCATTTGTAAAAGACCACTCTGACTGCTATGTAGAGAATTGATGGTGGGGAAGGAGGCAGGAGGGAAGCACGGTTACCAGGTTGGTGGCTACTGCAGTAGCCCAGGCAAGAAATGTGGCTTGCCCTAGGGTGGTGAGTGGAGATGGGGAGGAGGTGGACAGGGTCAGGATGTGCAAAGTAGGCAGCACTTGCTGGCAGTTTGGGTGTAGAGGATAGGAGATAAAGGAGACCAGCCTGAGCAACACTGAGACTGCCATCGCTACAATTTTTTTTTTTTTTTTTTTGAGACAGAGTCTCACTTTGTTGCCTAGGCTAGAGTGAGTGCCATGGCGTCAGCCTAGCTCACAGCAACCTCAAACTCCTGGCTCAAGCAATCCTTCTGCCTCAGCCTCCCAAGTAGCTGGGACTACAGGCATGCGCCACCATGCCCGGCTAATTTTTTCTATATATATTAGTTGGCCAATTAATTTCTTTCTATTTATAGTAGAGACGGGGTCTCGCTCTTGCTCAGGCTGGTTTCGAACTCCTGACCTCGAGCAATCCGCCCGCCTCGGCCTCCCAGAGAGCTAGGATTACAGGCGTGAGCCACCGCGCCCGGCAATTTTTTTTTTTTTAATTAGCTGGGCATGGTGGTGTGTGGCTGTAGTCCCAGCTACTCAGGAGCCTGAGGCAGGAGGGTTACTTGAGCCCAGGAGTTGGAGGTTGCTGTGAGCTATGATGATGCCACTGCACTCTAGCCTGAGCAAGAGAGGGAGACCTTGTCTCAGAAAAGAAAGGAAGAAAGGGAGGGAGGGAGCAAAGGAAAGGAGGGAGGGAAGGAAAGAAGAAAAAAGGAAGAAAGAAAGGAGATCCAAGGATATCTCTAAGTTTGGGGGAAGAGTTAGGAAGGAGTAGGGGTGAAGGAAATCTTTGGAGCTCTGTGGGAGATCTTTTTTAGTATCTGAATGGCAATGTCAAATAAAAGTTGTCATTAGGCACTCTGGGAGGTCGAGTCGAGTGGATGGCTCAAGGTCAGGAGTTTGAAACCAGCCTGAGCAAGAGCGAGACCCTGTCTCTACTAAAAATAGAAAGAAATTAATTGGCCAACTAAAAACATAGAAAAAATTAGCCGGGCATGGGCATTTGCCTGTAGTCCCAGCTACTTGGGAGGCTGAGGCAAGAGGATCATTTGAGCCCAGGAGTTTGAGGTTGCTGTGAGCTAGGCTGATGCCACGGCACTCTAGCCCTGGCTAAGAGTTGTCATTAAAAGTTGGAGTTCTGGGGAGAGGTCTGGACTGGAAATATAAATTTGGAAGTCATTAGCTTGGAGAAAGGTTTTAAAGCCAAGAGACTGGGTCTTTCAAAGTGTGGTCCATGGCCCAGCATCAGTGAGAACATCTGGGAGCTTGACAGAGATGCAGACTCTCAGGTCCCGGACCTGATCAGTAGGAATCTGTGTTATGACAAGGTCTGCGTGTGATCCGTGTGCACAGTAGAGTCTGAGAAGTGTTGTTCTAGGGACTGAGCAGAGAAGGAAGGGAGGCCTGTGCTGAGGCCTGGTGCACATGGCATGGAAAGATGGAAGAGGGTGCGCTGGCAAGGTAGACAGCTGACAACTAGTGAGCGAGGACCTGCCAGTCTGGCGAGATTCGACACCATATGAACCAGGGCCTTTGCTTCCATTACTTCCCAGCCCGCACGTTACAGATGGGAAAGCCAGGGCCTTGGACGTGAACAGGTGCTGTTATGATGGAGGGAGATCTTGGCCATCGACGGCAGCTCAGCTTCGGGGCTGCCCCGGGCGGGCAGGTTCTGAGCCCAGCATCCTCCCCCAACAGCAGGGAGGGCAGTGCTGGGGCCCCATAGGCTGAGGAGCACCCAGAGACACACAGTTCTGAGCCCCTGACCCATGTCACATGTGTTTCGCTTCTCTGAGACTCGGTTTTTCCATTTTGTGCAAAATTTCCCATCATACCACCACCCAAGGTTGTCCACCCTGGACCCCATCATCCCAGCTAATCATCATCCTCAGTCCCATCACTTCCCACATGCAGTGTGCATCCTGGCCCTGTCAGTTCTGTTTCCTAAATATTTTGGGGATCCATCGCCTCCTCTCCATCCACCCTGCCCTCCTCATATTTTGGTTCTTTCCAGCAGTCTACTGAGTCTCTCCAGTCTGTGTCTCCAGCGTGCTCCATTTAGAATCACAAATCTGACTCAGCATCTGCCCTAAAGTGACCCCTTGCTGTCCACATGATAGAGCTGAGGCATCCTAGCCCAGACTCACTGTCCTGGGTGATCTGGCTCCCAGTAGAGCCCCAGCATCAGCTTTGGTAACTTGTCCCAAACTGCTCACAAGACCTAAACCACTAATTTCTCATCGTTTGGGAAAATTCAAATGACACCTCCAGGAAGCCAACCAGACTATTTTGTGACCCGCCTTTGGGGTCCTCAGACACCCGCCTGCTCCATCTCTGTGCACACACTGGGAAGCAGCTGATGATGTGTTTGTTTCCTGCCCAGCGGTCTGTGAAGCTGAGGTGCGGGCTGTGCTCTGCTCATTCCTGTATCTCACGTACCTGGCACTTGGTATCTTGGTCCTCAGCTAGTGTCTGTTGATTGGGTGAGTGAGAGCGAACGCAAGAGCCGTGGGCACGCTGGTGCTGGGGGAGCCGGCCTAGGAAGGCATCTGGGGAGGAGGAAGGGAATCTGGTGCCCCAAGGCATTGAGCAGTTAGTGTCTTGCCCCGGGCACCAGAGGGAAGATTCAAGAGCCAAGAAATGCTGGTAGATGAGGTTGGGGTATGGTGGGGGTGGGCGTCCATAGGTGCTTTCTCAGCAGCCAGACCCCAGACCCAAATACTTCACCTCTCTGGGCTTCAGTTTCCCCGCTTGCCAAATAAGGATAATTCCTGCCCATCCCACAGCATCACCTAAAGATCAAGCAAGTGAGTGAATATATCTGTGTTCAGGAAGATGAAATGCTTGTACAGTTAAGCTAGTCTAGTTTTCACAAGGTCAGGAAAGTCCCCTCCAAGAACTCACCAGACTCCAGAAACACAGTTCCCCCACCCAGCATCTCCCACGTGGGTTTCCCTCCCTGAATGCCAACTCCCTGGATAGAACCCACTAACAGCAATAACACTTCTTGGGGAAATAAATTGTCGATCTATATGTCCCCTGGGTTCCCTTTAATGCCCAAGTAACAATCCTGAGCTCCCACCCTGCACAATGTCCCCTCCCATGAAATGTTGGCTCCCATCTGCTAAGCAAATGATCACTATGTGGAGCACTGGGTACCAAGTGCTTGCTATGCTTTCTTGCTTTTTAAAAAATCTGTAGTACTATTACCACACTGAATCCATGCTTTATTTCATTTGATTCTCATGTGAGAATCAAGAAAATTGAGGATCGGGGCTTGGGCTGGGGCCAGCAAGAGCTGGAGCAACCGACGGCAGAGCCCGTGGAGCCTGCGGACGGCGGCCTTCGCAGCTGCAGGCCATGCTGGCGTATCTGCAAACATGATGAAGAAGAGGACGTCCCACAACCACATCTCGAATCAGTGATGCACGTCTGGCAGACACAATGATTGGTAAAGCAGTGGAACATATGTTTGAGACAGAGGATGGCTCTAAAGATAAGTGGAGGGGAATGGTCTTCGCATGTGCACCTGTCATGAACACATGATTTTACATTACCTATGAGAAAGACCCTGTCTTGTACATGTACCAGCTCTTAGATGATTACAAGGAAGGCGACCTTCGCATTACGCCTGATTCTAATGATTCACCTCCAGCAGAAAGGGAACCAGGAGAAGTTGTGGACAACCTGGTAGGCAGAAAAGTGGAATATGCCAAAGAAGATGGGTCAAAAACAACTGGCATGGTCATTCATCAAGTAAAAGCCAAGCCCTCCATCTATTTCATCAATTTTGATGATGATTTCCATATTGATGTCTACGCTTTGGTGAAAACATCCTAGATGTCATTATGAACTCTGCCAAATTTGTGGAACTATTAAATGTATAATTTGTAGACATAAAAACTTAAAAAAAAAAAAAAGGAGTCAGCGGCTCCCGGCTCCAGGCTCCAGGCCGCCTAGGGCCAGAGCTTGAGGAGCCGGGTGTGGGTTCGCTGGGCCGCAGCCCCTCCCAGTTCCCCCAGCGACAGCCACTTCCTGGTCCTCAACGCAACCATGGCTGAAGAACAACTGCAGGTCGAATTGTTCGTGAAGGCT